ATTGCAAAGTTTCAATAGATTTAACTTATCCTTACTTTCGAAGTCGCCTAAGATAACTCTTGAAACTTCAAGATGCTTGAATGCAATATTTTGTTCTTGTAAAGACTCTGAAAAATTAGTAGAATCGGAAGGTACCAACCCTCCTGTAATACAATATCTTGGTCCTTTGCACCAAATCTCGAGCAGATCTTTCAGGTATAAGGGTGATAATGGAGATAGATAACTTAATCCGAAGGCGTTGCTCTCAGAGTAAATTGACACTTATTTTAATATTTGCTACTCTAACACTAGATTCCTCTTGATATAAACGAATTACATGAACTTACCCCCAGCTTTCAGTACAGTTCCATGTACCCCGTTCGTTGCTAGACTTCAACTTTCAATATCAGCTGCTGCAAATTCACTTCCCCACCAGACTGAGGTGGTTTTCTGTTGGCCTTCTATCATAGTTGGCCACTATCATAGTTGGCCTTCCGTATTTTTGAACAAGTTTCGTTTCTACAGACTTACACTCATGGTATCATCTAGTATCTATGTTTACGCATGTTTCAGTTATGTTCTTAGGTTTTTAAATTCTCTTCACTTCTGATTCTTAAAGAGGCGGAGCAACATGGTGTCATAATTGTCCACAACTTAGAAAACAAGTTGTCTTATTTGGAAAAATATAATGTAAAAACAAAGTTAAACATTAATTTTAATAAAAATTGGTTTATGTTCAAACAAAACTTGCAATTCTAGATCTCTGAATAGATATTTCTTTGCTAAATTCCAGAAAAATTTAAGAAATCCCACTGCAAGCCCCGCGTGATGATGACTCTCCCTCCCTCCCTCCGAACACTTAACCCGCTTTCACTGAAGACGGCTTTTAGCACAAAATCACTTAATTAATTTTCTTGATGCAATTAAATCAAGTTAATTTAGCTTATTTAGCCAACCGACTAATAATGATTGATAATGACCAAAGACTATCGTATAAATCCAAACTCGTGTTGAGAAACAAGTGATTTTAAAAGTAAACCAAAAGCAACTTGTGACATGTTTCCATCATACTTTGACATTACTATCTTTCACAATATTCCACTTGGATAACATTTGGATTAAAAGCTTTGTAACAAAATACTCATTTTCTGAATTTTTTTATATCTGTTACGTGTTCAATGACATAACAATTTACAATTAAGTAATAACTATGTAAGGATTAATCCATTAATCAAATTGTAGACATTTAATTTCAAAACTAAAATCTTGATTAATCTTTTGGTTAAAATTTAGAGCAATGTATTATCTTTACTGAAAATCTTGTTTTATATTTCATTTTGATTATAAAAGCTAAAAATTATTTCCAAACTAATACTTTTAAATTTGTGAAATTATATATATCATAATTATTAGTACGTTTCAAAAATAAAAAATCAAAAATAAATTTTACAACAAATTTAAAATACTTTGGTCATGTAAGTGTATAACTTATGTAATAAATTCATGTCGATACTGAAAAAGTTTATTTGCATGATTTAAGTCAAAAAAGATGATTGACATATCTAAGTTTTTTTCAGAAATCATAACGTTGCTAACTGTGATGTATTTTACTCTAATCTTCTTTCTCAAAATATTTTTGATTTTGCAGATGTAATTTTCATAATTTTGAAAATTAAAATTTCCATCAACTTTTTTGCCAAAATCATATTTATAGATATCTGGATAATTAAAGCTAATTCAAAATCAATCAAATTTTTTGTTCTTCAACTCATCAAATTTTTTTTATGAACTTTTTGTACATATTTTGTTGAATTTAATAACCATAAGAGAAAGAAATTAAGTATTAAAATTTATCATCTTTTATCTATCGATTATTGTAAGTAAATATGATATTTTATATATTTTATATGTAAAAAAGATAAAATATATTTAAGGATAAACACTTATTATAGTATTATACATTAAAACTTATAATTATAAAAATTTAATTATAAAAAGATGAAAATAGAAATTAAGCATAATTTATGAAGCAAATTTATTAATGAATTTTTTTATTTAGAAAAATAATCAAATTAATAAGAAAATAAATTTTCATGATTAATTATGTATAAATATTTCAATATTAGAAAATAAATGATAAATGAAAATAAATTAAAAATTAGATCAAGGGCAAATTTTTCAGTGATTAGTTATGCTTCAATATGCTCTTAAATTAATATTCGAAACTTTCAATATAAAACTTTTTGAAAATTGGTATTTGAATGTTATATCGATATATACATTTAAAATTATTAATTAGAAAAAGTCATTATGGAAATGATTTTGATAAAAAATGTACAGATTAAATAAGACTGTGAATATTTTGACTTAGCTTAATATACTTTATTCATAATTGATATGAGTTTTGTATGACAAATATCCATATGTATAAATTTTTAATACAGAATTGTTACTCTCATTCTCATAGTGTCATCTGAATTTTAATAATTAAGCACAAATTTAGATTCAACTTCAATGTATAATCCCGATAATTTTTTAAAGAATCAATTCTTGTTTGAAAAGTTTTTTTTATTTCATATTAATCTTTAGTATACATTATCTTTGAATTGAATGTGTATTACATTTACTCTTTCGCATCATTGTTAAAGAATTTATATCAAAACGAAATAACATTTTAATCTCCAAAATGTCATATGTGTTTACCTTTTTGTATTAGCACTAGATGATTCAATGATTTTTCAATTTAAAAAAATGCGATAAAATATTTTTTAAACAAACCTACTGAACACACTCAGCATTTTTTTTACTTGATACTTTCCTTCATATATGAATTTCAAAATCTTCACATTAATTTTTTCACCGTGAAAATGTCTGCAAATATATTTTGTTTATGATCACTCGATAGCGGAAATTCAAGTAATTATTGATATATTTGTCACTTGGAAAATGTTCCCAATGACATCCGGTTCATATATACAAAAGAACTCGCATTATCGTAAAAGCAGGCAAAAAAGTTCATTACGAAACCAAACATATGGAATGTTCTGGAGCATCTGAACTCATGCACTAGCCAATGTCTTCAATGCCAAAACTAAAACTAGATCATAATTCATAAAAATTAAAACCTTAAATATGTTGTTAGACACTATAATTCTGACAAGATTCAAGAAAAGCTGATATTTTTTTTTGATTTTGGATGTCGATAATAATTACAAAATTTATTTGTTAGTATCGATGAGACATGATATGCTTTTTCAGCATTATGAGCTATCTGCACGTAATTACTGGAAGAATAACACACATGGCATTCACATTTATTCAAAAACTGGTCTTATATGAAGGTAAACCTGATCATTTTATAACAGTTCTGTTGTAAAAGTTTATCGATATTATGCTAGGAACTCTTAAACTTTCACGTACGAAGAAGGAAACCATGTAAGTATAAGAATTTATTAGATTTAGTAGTGCTCATAATACCTCATATTTTCAAGCAAGGGTGCGTCGCGAAGCCAATAGGGTGCAGGCCTAATGCCTAGTAGCTGACGCGATTGCAACGTACCGAGAACAAACCTATACCCTTAGATAGGTTTAAAATATATAAGGGTACCAAGTAAGGCCGCGGATATAAGTTCAGCAGCCAGCATGATCCGATGCTGTCAGCTTTCCCTCAGTCAATACGCAGTTGCGAGTAGGTCCTTCACTCAATTATGGAAATCAGCAACAGAGGTGGTCGGTGATAGCCCTGGTGTTCGCAAAAGTCTCCGAACTTCTTTCACGGTTGTTGCAGAAGTTACTTTCGCAAAAATTTCCCCGTGGCGACGCGTAGAATACGGTTTATGCAGTATTTTACTAGGCGGCCCAACTGTAAGGCGGTAAAAATCTGCATGTCACTGATCGACAATATGTGGAGTATCGAGACCCAGAATCAATTGCATTCATGTCTCCGTTATAATGCATGCCATGAAATTTGAAAACAAACCGTAAGGTTTGAATGGACATGGATTCAATATTAGTCGTGACATACGTTCCAGGTATGTGACATTGCCCATTCCATTTTCAACATCGAGGGTCAACATTGGCAGCAAAAGTTTGGGGCTACTGTGCAGTCCCTTACAAGATGCTCGCGTCGTGAGCGTACTCTACCGTAGATCGTCCGACCTGCTATCTTGCATGCTTACACGTTAGGCTCCAGACTATTTCGAGGTTCTGTTGTTCATGCATTAGGAGGAGTCTCATGAGTTCCAAATTTGGTAACATCTGATTCTGAAATGGGGAACTTGAATCTGAATGAGGGCATATCAGACCGTATGGCAATATGTTCGATATACTCCAGAAGAAGGTCCTTTCTCGACGAAAGTATGTTCACGGAGCGAACGAGCTCAACGATATAGTGCTTTCTGTTGCTTTCAAAGCTCGGGAGACCGAGGAAGACTCTTTGACATGTACGTGCCCACACTCTTTTAAGAATTTTATATTATAAAATATACAATATTCACAGACACTCCTGGGCTCCCACGTTTTCTGAATGGGAGTGCTGTACTACTTTTCAGAAGTACCGGCTCCAGATATCGAAAGTTCCTGTGAAAAGTACCGTCAACAAAGTGTCAGATAAACGAAGACATTAACTTGCTCTCACAATTAAGGGTTTACCTTCCGCTATCGGAGATTGATTTTCTCCAGACCCTGTTTAGAGAATGTCGTATCTGCTAAAGAGGAATCTAAAATTATAGACCAAACTTGAAAATCTTGCTACGTAGAAAAGGCCGGAAAGTCATTTGAGTACAGATAACTTGTACCAAGAGTGAACCATTGCAAAGTTCCAACTATCTTATTCTTATCAAGCGGACCTGTCTGAAAGTCCGGACTTTAGGATGTTCGGCCCTGCGACTAATTATCTTCAGATCTTTTCCGTTCGGAAATGAGAATGTATGTTTGTTTACCAAACTGCAGTTTACAGAATTCTGAATCAGATGAAGATAATGAAATCAGTTTATAGAGAAGGGAATGTTACCTGATTCTATCTACACCGTCCAGTAACTCCAGTCTCAGCGTGAAAGGCAATGGGCTCAGATCAGTAAGCTGTGCGCGAGTATATAAAGGACCCGCCACTTGTTCCAAAGCATATCACTAAGGTTTCCATCCGGGACTGATCGAGCTAAGCTAGAGGTTCTTGAGGTGCGGTGATTCTCTCTCTTCTGAGCTTCTCCTTCTGTCACCTTTGTTTGAGAGACGAAATGCCGTCACCTCTCGTGCATGTACAGTAGCAGGAACACTCGTAGGATCTCGATCGCTTTCAATTTGGGCATACGTGATTATTGCATGCAGCTTCTGTGAAGCATTCTGCTCTACTTACATCTCAGTTTGTGTCGACGATAAGATCACTGTCAGCTCCGTGATTCAGCCTCTGCTCATGCCTAGAAATTCGAATTTGCTCGTTACTCAAGTAGCTGCGGTGCATCCGAACTTGAAATAGCGCATGTTCTGATACACGTTCTTGGACCTTTCGATCGTCTGTACATGCAGTGCGTGCAAAGGAGCTTCGAACGTTGGTGTCGGTGTCACAAGCACCAAGCAGAGCGCTGAGGGCTGAGTGGACCTGACGAGATTTACTCGTAAGTTCCCACTGTTAGTCAGTCAGTCACCTCGAGTGCTGGCCGGACTAGAAAATACTTCCTCGGTCGACGAGTCCGAGTTCCTCCTCGAGCCGCTGCACGAAAGAAGCGCCTAACGTAGCATAGAGAACTCTCTACCTGGGCATATCCTAAAGCTCATGCACGATCAAATCTGACTCTTTATATGCAGACGTGGATATATAAATGCCTGAGAATTAAACGTGGACTCAGAATTATTTTGAATTCATATACCCGGGTATATTTAGTGGTGGACGTACGCATTGTACTTCGTCATCCATGCAATGATGCTTCCGAGAGTAATGCCAGATTCGTAGATTCCTGCATGCATGCAGATTGAGGTCAGATAACTGGATAGATGGATGGATGGGTAGTTCGTGTGTTGGGGCTATGAGTCCTAAGCAGGGAGTGATCGTCACAACTGATTTATGGTCTTTATTCATAGAGTAGAATAATACGTGCAGATTGGAGTCGAATATAAAATGGCGAGTGCTGAAGGAACCGAATGTCGTCAGCAAGTTCCAATCCTCACGTCAAGCACTGATTGACAGATTTCACGTGAGAGTTCGAGCGAGAGATGTTCGAAGCCCGAAAGAATCACTAACATTGTTGTGCCGTATGCAAAGCAGGCTCCTCTCCAGATCTTCGCATCCACAATCGACAATGGGAGTCCAGGTTGAGATCAAGACTGACGGCGTCCCACCTCAGGATGTCAAGTCGAAGATCATCCACCGCCAGTCCGGAAGATTGTTGTGCATGAACCGTGGACCCAAGGGCACCATGATTGTGAAGGACAAGAGCGAAACGACAGGCGCGGATGAAGAATTCTGGTCGATCGTTCCCTTGGAGACGAGTTCAGATGGAGTGCCGACTAAGGCCCGATTCGAGTGCCAGCTGAAGCAAGATGGCAACGTGGAATATCAGCTTGTTCCATCCAAGAAGTACCCCGGATGTTTCAGATTCTACTACGGTGGCAAATTGTTCATCGGTCACGAAGGCGACTCGACAGCAGTGAGCACCACCTTCGGGGACATCAGCGCGGCAGAGCTCGATCAGGACATCTGGTTCTTCGAGTACACACCTGCTTCCAAAGTCGTCATCACCATCGATGTGTCCATCAACGAGATCGTGGTCAAGCTGGGAGTTCTGCTCGAGGGCTTCCTGAACAGCAGTGGGAAAAAGGCTCTGCAAAACCTCGCCCATGCTCTGGACCTGGCAGTCGATGAGTTCGCTGCCATTGCTAAAGCGAGCGGTCGAGTCACTGTTGCCAAGCTCGCTGTTCTACAGACAGTGAGCGATGCGGTGTACGAGGCGATCGGCAGGGACTGCACCGCCAAGGAGCTGGGAGAGATTCTCGGCAAATTCCTCCGCAACATGGCTGAGATTATCACTGAGGTTGCCAGAACCTTGGGTGCAGTCGTCGGTCTGCTCGTGATCAAGATGGCCGATTTCGTCGAGAAGTTCCTCGGTGGAATTGCGACGGCAGTAGCGAGTGGCGTTTTGGGATTCGTGCAATTCCTCAGTGACCTCAATGGGATCATCTTCGGAATCAGCGGCTACTTGACGGGCACAATGTCCGCTGCTCTCCTCAAGTTTGGCATCGACATCGCTGTACTCGCAGAGGCCTTTACCCGTCTCGTGGCAGCCTTCGGTTCCATCAAATTGGACGACAACATGACCTTGGGAAGCCTGACTCCCGAAACAGCAATCGCGTCTCTATCCGGAGCCGTGAGATACGTCTTTACTTGCTTCGGAGGTTTTCTGCAGGAGGTCACTTACAATGTTGAGCATCCCCCCGCACCCACCGCACCCACCGCACCCACGAAGCCTGAAACTGAGGGACCTCTCTTCTCCCTCACTGGTCCGATCGCAGAGATCATGGGCAAGGTGGGAGAACTCATTTCAGCTGTTCTGAAAAAGGCCGAGGCCAAGGCGATTCGCACCATTGCCTTCGCTCTGGAAGCTGCGGTTGACGCTCTGATCGTCAGCCTGAAGGGGATCAAAGGAGTATCCATAACTATCGCCGATGGTCTCACAGCTCTCAGTGATCTCGTGTACAAGGCTGCCACCAGCGTCCACCTCGATGGCTTGGGCACAGCCATATGCAACCTGCTGAAGAAGGTGGCTGACATCGTGGGTGATGTTCTCGGTGACGCCCTCAATGGAATCGGTGCAGCTCTGAAGAATCTGGTCTACCAAATTGCAATAGTCGTGGAGTACCTCCTAAATGGAGTTATGACGATCATTTTGGGACTTGCAGTCGGTGGTTCGATATCTCTCGGTTCAATTCTGGCTCCCATCGGTGTTCTTGTGGGCACCATCACCACAACGATTTCCGGCTCACTCTCTGTCCTATTTAAGGGCTTGGGAATTGATGTGCAACCGCTCCTGCAGATATTCGGTCGCCTCAGCGCAGCAATCTCCGCTCAAGACCTGACGCTTTTGGGCACCATTTTCGCTGATCTGTTTGGCTGTCTGGGCAAGGTCTTCACTGATGCCATCGGCGGCGTTACTACACTTCCAGTGTCTTCTGGGCACGGAAGTGTCAGTGACGGATTTGTCGAAATCAAGATCGACCTCATTGCTCTGCCCTTGGGAGAAGTTTTCAAGAATGTTGGTCAGCTCATCTTGAACGTCTTGGGCAAAGCTGGAGAGAAGGTGATTCGAACTGCTGCTTTTGCTCTGGACGCTGCAATCGATGCTCTGATTATCGTTCTGAAGGGACTTGCCTTCATCCCTGTTGCTACTCTGACGCTTCTCCAAGAACTGAGCGACAAAATGTACACAGCCGCAACCAGTTTGAAATTCGAGGGTCTGGGTGGTGCTTTGTCCGCTCTCTTGAGCAAGTTCGGATTTATTCTGGAAGGTATCCTTGGTGATGTGGTTGTCGGCCTCGGACTTGCCGTCAAAACCCTTCTGGTTCAGTTGGGAACTCTCGTCGAGCAGCTCTTGGGTGGCATTCTCTCCATCGTACTGGGTGTTGTCAACATTGGATCCGCAAATCTAAAGCCAGTTCTAGCTCCCATCGGCGAAATGGTGAACCAGCTCATCATCACCATCACCGGCACTCTTGGAAGAGTACTCCAAGGACTTGGCTTGGTTTTGAAGCCACTTACGGATGCATTGGGTCGTCTCAGCAATGCTCTTGTTTCACTGGACATCAATTCGTTCGGTTCCATTTTTGTTGAGATATTTTCCAGTATCTCTGTCATCTTCATCGGTGTCTTCCAGAAGGTTGGAGCAACTCCTATCAAGTACCCTGTGATCGATAACAGCGTTCATGGCTCAGTATCGGGAGATACAGGAAAGTCTGAAGTAACAGTCAATGTCGATTTTAATTTCGAGCTGGTGGCAGAACCTTTTGGCCTTATAATCACCAAGGTTGGAGAACTGCTCCTCCAGGTTCTGAACAAGGGAGGAGAGAAGCTTATCCGAGACGCAGCATTCGCCGTGGATGTTGCCGTGGATGCTCTTATCACACTCTTGAAAAAATTCGGAGTCGTCACTATCGATATCCTTACTCTGTTTGACGGGCTGAGCAACGCTCTTTACAATGCTGCCACGAGTGTCAACAGTGAGGGCCTTGGGATCGCGTTGGAAAAACTTCTCAGGACAGCGGGTGATGTTCTGGAAATACTTCTGGCCGGTGCTACAGGAGCAATCTTTGGTTTGGGCTTAGCTCTCAAGAATGTCATGTATGGATTGGGCTCTCTGGTGGGACAACTGTTGCAAGGTGTTCTATCCATCATCGGTGGGTTGGCTGGAGGTCTTTATGATCTTGGTGCCGATAAGCTTGGTCAACTTCTCACACCCCTTGGAGTCCTGGTGAGTGGGATTATTCAGCTCGTTTCTGGTACCTTCTCCGGATTTGAACAAGCATTGGGAATCACCCTGAAGCCCTTCACCGACGCATTGGGCAGGCTTGCAGCAGCCATAACGTCGTTGGACGTTAAGGCCGTGATTAGCCTATTCTCTGAAATATTTGGAAGCTTTTCTTTGACCATCACCGGTATCTTCACAGTTTTAGGAAGAATCATTATCACAACTCTACCTGGAAAGGTCGACGAACAGAAGCCTCCAGGAATCACAACTCTGCCTGGAAAGGTCGACGAACAGAAGCCTCCAGGAATCACAACTCTGCCTGGAAAGGTCGACGAACAGAAGCCTCCAGGAATCACAACTCTGCCTGGAAAGGTCGACGAACATAAGCCTCCAGGAATCACAACTCTGCCTGGAAAGGTTGATACCACAACAGGACAGATCACTGTCACTCCACCCAAAGGGGACTTCACCTTCGAGATTGTGGCAGAACCGTTCGGACTCATCTTGAGCAAGCTCGGAGAGCTACTGCTCAATGTACTCAACAAAACTGGGGACAAGGTGATTCGAGCCGCAGCCTTCGCTCTGGATGCAGCTTGCGAAGCTTTCATTACTCTGCTTGCAGGGTTCGACATCATCGCTTCCGCCACCCTTACTGTCTTCGGGAACTTGAGTGATGCTGTGTACAAGGCAGCCACATCTGTGAACTTCGATGGCTTGGGCAAGGCTTTATGTAACCTTCTCAACATGCTTGGCGACATGTTCGAAGGGTTCTTCGGGGCAGTCGGTGTTGTGGTTGTCGGCTTGGGTCGGGCTCTCAAGGATCTGCTGTACCAGCTGGGATCTCTTGTGAACCAGTTCCTGGATGGAGTCCTGTCCTTCATCGTGGGAGTGGCTGGTGGGCTTCTAGGAGTTGGTTCTGCTCTCCTGGGCCCAATTCTGGCACCGATCGGCGTTTTGGTGAACGCCATCATCAGCACTGTGACTGGAACTCTGGGTGGACTTCTGAAACAGTTCGGTTTGAACCTGAAGCCATTCACGGATGCTCTGGGTCGTCTTGCAGCGGCCATCACCACTCTGGATATCAAGGCCTTGGGAGGTATCTTCGTGGATGTTTTCGGCAGCTTCTCCATCGTCATCATCGGTGTGTTCAAAGGTGCCGTGAAGGTTGGTATCCCTCTACCAGGAAAGCTCCCCGGTGGTTCGACCGGAGGACAGATCTCTGTGTCTCCACCCAAAGGGGACTTCACCTTCGAGATTGTGGCAGAACCGTTCGGACTCATCCTGAGCAAGCTCGGAGAGCTACTGCTCAATGTATTGAACAAAACTGGGGACAAGGTGATTCGAGCCGCAGCTTTCGCTCTGGATGCAGCTTGCGAAGCGTTCGTTACTCTGCTGGCAGGCTTTGATATCATCGCTTCCGCCACTTTGACAGCATTCGGTAACTTGAGTGATGCTGTGTACAAGGCAGCCACATCGGTGAAGTTCGATGGCTTGGGCAAGGCTTTATGTAACCTTCTCAACATGCTTGGAGACATGTTCGAAGGATTCTTCGGGGCAGTCGGTGTTGTGGTTGTCGGCTTGGGTCGGGCTCTCAAGGATCTGCTGTACCAGCTGGGGTCTCTTGTGAACCAGTTCCTGGATGGAGTCCTGTCCTTCATCTTGGGAGTGGCTGGTGGTCTTCTAGGAATTGGTTCTCTTGGTGCTCTCTTGGGCCCAATTCTGGCACCGATCGGCGTTTTGGTGAACGCCATCATCAGCACTGTGACTGGAACTCTGGGTGGACTTCTGAAACAGTTCGGTTTGAATCTGAAGCCATTCACGGATGCTCTTGGTCGACTTGCAGCAGCCATCACCACTCTGGACATCAAGGCGTTGGGAGGTATCTTCGTGGATGTTTTCGGCAGCTTCTCCATCGTCATCATCGGTGTGTTCAAGGGTGCCGTGAAGGTCGGTATCCCTCTACCAGGAAAGCTCCCCGGTGGTTCGACCGGAGGACAGATCTCTGTGTCTCCACCCAAAGGGGACTTCACATTCGAGATTGTGGCAGAACCGTTCGGACTCATCTTGAGCAAGCTCGGAGAGCTACTGCTCAATGTATTGAACAAAACTGGGGAGAAGTTGATTCGAGCCGCAGCTTTCGCTCTGGATGCGGCTTGCGAAGCGTTCATTACTCTGCTGGCAGGCTTCGACGTCATCGCTTCTGCCACCCTTACCGTCTTCGGGAACTTGAGTGATGCTGTGTACAAGGCAGCCACATCGGTGAAGTTCGATGGCTTGGGCAAGGCTTTATGTAACCTTCTCAACATGCTAGGAGACATGTTCGAAGGGTTCTTCGGAGCAGTTGGTGTTGTGGTTGTCGGCTTGGGTCGGGCTCTCAAGGATCTGCTGTACCAGCTGGGATCTCTTGTGAACCAGTTCCTGGATGGAGTCCTGTCCTTCATCTTGGGAGTGGCTGGTGGGCTTCTAGGAGTTGGTTCTGCTCTCCTGGGCCCAATTCTGGCACCGATCGGCGTTTTGGTGAACGCCATCATCAGCACTGTGACTGGAACTCTGGGTGGCCTTCTGAAACAATTCGGTTTGAATCTGAAGCCTTTCACGGATGCTCTTGGTCGACTTGCAGCAGCCATCACCACTCTGGACATCAAGGCGTTGGGAAGTATCTTCGTGGATGTTTTCGGCAGCTTCTCCATCGTCATCATCGGTGTGTTCAAGGGTGCCGTGAAGGTCGGTATCCCTCTACCAGGAAAGCTCCCCGGTGGTTCGACCGGAGGACAGATCTCTGTGTCTCCACCCAAAGGGGACTTCACATTCGAGATTGTGGCAGAACCGTTCGGACTCATCCTGAGCAAGCTCGGAGAGCTACTGCTCAATGTATTGAACAAAACTGGGGACAAGGTGATTCGAGCCGCAGCCTTCGCTCTGGATGCAGCTTGCGAAGCGTTCATTACTCTGCTTGCAGGGTTCGACATCAGCGCTTCCGCCACCCTTACCGTCTTCGGGAACTTGAGTGATGCTGTGTACAAGGCAGCCACATCTGTGAACTTCGATGGCTTGGGCAAGGCTCTATGTAACCTTCTCAACATGCTAGGAGACATGTTCGAAGGGTTCTTCGGAGCAGTCGGTGTTGTGGTTGTCGGCTTGGGTCGGGCGCTCAAGGATCTGCTGTACCAGCTGGGATCTCTTGTGAACCAGTTCCTGGATGGAGTGTTGTCCATCATCGTGGGAGTGGCTGGTGGTCTTCTAGGAGTTGGTTCTGCTCTCCTGGGCCCAATTCTCGCACAGATCGGCGTTTTGGTGAATGCCATCATCAGCACTGTGACGGGAACTCTGGGTGGACTTCTCAAACCATTCGGCTTGAATCTGAAGCCATTCACGGATGCTCTTGGGCGTCTAGCAGCGGCCATCACCACGCTCGATATTAAGGCCTTGGGAGGTATCTTCGTGGATATTTTCGGCAGCTTCTCCATCGTCATCATCGGTGTGTTCAAGGGTGCCGTGAATGTTGGTATCCCTCTACCAGGAAAGCTCCCCGGTGGGTCGATCGAGGTGACCCCTGGCAAGGGAGAGGGAGCGATCTCTGTGTCTCCACCCAAAGGGGGCTTCAGCTTTGAGATTGTGGCAGAACCGTTCGGACTCATCTTGAGCAAGCTCGGAGAGCTACTGCTCAATGTACTCAACAAAACTGGGGACAAGGTGATTAGAGCCGCAGCTTTCGCTCTGGATGCCGCTTGCGAAGCATTCATAACTCTGCTGGCAGGCTTTGATATCATCGCTTCCGCCACCTTGACAGCCTTCGGTAACTTGAGTGATGCTGTCTACAAAGCAGCCACATCGGTGAAGTTCGATGGCTTGGGCAAGGCTTTATGTAACCTTCTCAACATGCTAGGAGACATGTTCGAAGGTTTCTTCGGAGCAGTCGGTGTTGTGGTTGTCGGCTTGGGTCGGGCTCTCAAGGATCTGCTGTACCAGCTGGGATCTCTTGTGAACCAGTTCCTGGATGGAGTCCTGTCCTTCATCTTGGGAGTGGCTGGTGGGCTTCTAGGAGTTGGTTCTGCTCTCCTGGGCCCAATTCTGGCACCGATCGGCGTTTTGGTGAACGCCATCATCAGCACTGTGACTGGAACTCTGGGTGGACTTCTGAAACAGTTCGGTTTGAATCTGAAGCCATTCACGGATGCTCTTGGTCGTCTTGCAGCGGCCATCACCACGCTGGACATCAAGGCGTTGGGAGGTATCTTCGTGGATGTTTTCGGCAGCTTCTCCATCATCATCATCGGTGTGTTCAAGGGTGCCGTGAATGTTGGTATCCCTCTACCAGGAAAGCTCCCCGGTGGGTCGATCGAGGTGACCCCTGGTAAGGGAGAGGGAGCGATCTCTGTGTCTCCACCCAAAGGGGGCTTCAGCTTTGAGATTGTGGCCGAACCATTCGGACTCATCTTGAGCAAGCTGGGAGAGCTACTGCTGAATGTATTGAACAAAGCTGGGGACAAGGTAATTCGTGCCGCAGCATTCGCGCTGGATGCAGCTTGCGATGCATTGATTACTCTGTTTGCAGGGTTCGACATCATCGCTTCCGCCACCTTGACGGCCTTCGGGCACTTGAGTGATGCTGTGTTCAATGCAGCCATCTCAGTGAACTTCGATGGTCTGGGCAAGGCTTTATGTAACTTCCTGAACATGCTTGGAGACGTGTTCGGAGTGATATTCGGAGGAGTTGGTGTCGTTGTCGTAGGCTTGGGACTGGCTTTGAAGAATCTGCTTTACCAGCTGGGATCTCTTGTGAACCAGCTCCTGGATGGAGTTCTGTCCATTATCTTGGGAGTGGCTGGTGGGCTTCTAGGAGTTGGTTCTGCTCTCTTGGGCCCAATTCTGGCACCGATCGGCGTTTTGGTGAATGCCATCATCAGCACTGTGACGGGAACTCTGCGTGGACTTCTCAAACCATTCGGTTTGAATCTGAAGCCATTCACCGATGCTCTGGGTCGTCTTGCAGCGGCCATCACCACGCTGGATATCAAGGCGTTGGGAGGTATCTTCGTCGATATTTTCGGCAGCTTCTCCATCATCATCATCGGTGTCTTCAAGGGTGCTACGAACGTCGGTATCAACCTTCCAGGGAAACTTCCCGGCGGGTCGATCGAGGTGACCCCTGGTAAGGGAGAGGGAGCGATCTCTGTCTCTCCACCCAAAGGCGACTTCCACTTTGGGCTCGTGGCGGAACCGTTCGGACTCATCTTAAGCAAGCTCGGAGAGCTGCTTGTGAGTGTATTGGCTAAAGCTGGTGAGAAAGTAATTCGAGCTGCAGCATTCGCTCTCGATGCTGCTGTCGATGGTTTGATCACTGTGCTGGCAGGATTTGGAATTGTTGTCGAAGCGACATTGAAAGCGTTCGGGGATCTGAGCGATGCCGTTTTCAAAGCAGCCACGTCAGTAAGCTTTGAAGGCTTGGGCAAAGCTCTGGATGACCTTATCGATTTGGTGGGTGATGTGCTTGAGATCGTGTTGAGGGGAGCTGAAAAAGTACTTGTGGGTCTAGGCTTTGCCATCAAGAATCTCTTCTATCAGATCGGAAACTTGGTGCATGACCTTTTGGATGGAATCCTTTCGGTCATCTTGAGCGCTGCCAATGGTCTGCTGGGATTGACCTCTGTGCTGCTCCGTCCAATTCTCGCCCCGATCGGCTTCCTTGTGGATGCAATCATCAGCAGTGTCACCGGCACTCTTGCTGTTATTCTGAAACCTTTAGGCCTGAAGCTAGAATCCTTGGGAGATGCCCTGGGACGCTTGGGCAAGTGCATCAGCACCTTGGACATCAAGTCCTTGGGACCATGCCTGGGTGAAGTTTTCGGATCAGTTTCAGTTGTGATCATCGGCATCTTCCAGGGCATTGAGGTTTTGATCTTTGGCAAGCCTGCGCCCCTGCCAATTGCGCCGGCGCCAAAGCCCACTGCTCCTGTCACAATCAAAGTGGACATCAGTTTCACGGCCATGCCCATCCAGCTCGTTCTCAACGGTGTGGGCAAACTCGTGGCCAGCATTTTCGACAAAGCCGGCGAGAGGAAGATCCGCGACGCCGCCATGGCCCTGGACACGGCGGTCGACGCTCTGATCACTAAGCTCAGAACGCTGTCCTTCATCTCAGTCGCCGCCGTGGATGCGCTGGCCAAGCTCAGCGACGCTCTGTACAAGGTAGCCACATCAAACATGGACAAAGTCGGCACAGCCATCTCCAATTTACTGCTGAAGCTCGCGGACATCCTCGTCGACCTGTTCGGGGCTGCCAACAAGTCTCTGTCGCAGGCCTTGAAGGCTTTCGTGCAGCGCGTGGCATCTCTCGTGCAGAACCTTCTGGACGGCCTTCTCAATTTCATCATGAACTTGGGAGGCCTGTTCATCTTCGGCGGTGCAGACGTATTTCTGGCGCCGATCATGCTCCCCATCGGCGCCATCGTCGACGCCACGAACGACGCCGTCACAACGGATCTGGCCACAGCGTTGGCGGCGTTCGGCTTGAGCGTGACGTCCCTGACCACCGCCCTCAACAAACTCAAGAAGGCCATCACCTCCGTCGAGACTAAGAATCTCGGGGCCATCTTCGTCGACATCTTCTCGGCTTCGGCGGCTGCCTTCCTCGTTATCAACTTTGTCGGCTCGATCGTGATCGAGACCCAATCTAGCACCGTCATCGACTTGACGAGTCTCAACAGCCTCATCTCCGGCAAGAAGGGCAACCAGTTCGACATGTCTTTCGGTACCGATGCTGGCTTCCAGTTCGGTAGCAATACCGACTTTGATTTTTCGACCGACGCTGCTTTCGGACTCCAAACCAAGCAGTCACGGGCCGTCATTACATGGGTCCCCAGACCTGGCCAAATGGTCCATAATCAGAAATAGTTATTTTAGGTACATTATTAGTTACCGTTCTAGTACTCTTGGCACTAGTCAGGGATTGGCTTTTGGGTCTTTTCCCTTCTTTGTGGTTTTCGCGTGTATTGTGTCTGCAGTTACAATAATGGTGGCAAGCCACCATTATTGATTATGATGAAGACGAAATGTCTCTCTCAAAAGGGAGTTTCGTAGGGACTCAAACCTTATGGACTTTCTGCGCGTTCCTTCCTGCATTGTTAGACTGTCTAGAGTTGTCTTGAGTTTAGACCTTAATAAAGTCAATAGTTCAGTTGATCATGTGACTATGTCAAAAGCCGAAGCAGGGGTTAGTTGTTGCAGCTTGGTGTGAGGCAAAAAGCACCAGTTCTGCATACGGCTCCACTTTCTCTTCTGTATTCGAAGCATCCTTGAAATAAACAACTCTTCATTCGAAATTGATCACTGGCCACCGAGATTCATCACTTGTGGTGATTCAAACACAGATGTTTCTAGAACTTATGTTTTTACGTTCCAAATTAGAAGCAGATTGATCGTAAAGCAAAGCGAAGTGGTTATGTATATAAAGTGGTTATTTTTAAAAAAATCATTGAAAAAATCTATCTTTCTATAATATTTTCAGTATTTATTTCCATTTAATCTAAATTATATATTTTTTATAAATTCATTTTTAATAATAAAAATATGAAATTGACAATATTTTTTCATTTCTAAGTTTTTTTTAAAATAATTATAAATAGTAATCTTTTGAAAACTATATATATATATATATATATATACCTTGAAAAAACATGCCATTCTTGAAAGTTTGTGTAACTATGTGCAAATAGAAGAGACTAATGTTGAAAAGAAGAAAATCTATAAGGCTTAAGTCTATGATGCACTTGAATTGGAAATTTCTATGATCTGTTTACATGTGTTTCTCAAACTTATTTGAGCATTAACATTATCCCATTGAAATGTTAAAAGTGTTATCTATATACGATTTTTTTTTGCATAAAATTTAATTTTCTAAAAAATATATACATCAATTTGATGTTTGTCTCCCCTAATCTCCACATAATATGTCGTTGGATAAAAATATTGAGCTTGTAATTGCAAAATTTCTGTAAACTCAACACAAATTTTATTAAAATATGTGAAAAGATTTTCACAGTAAAGAGTTGACAAATCAAAATTTATAAATAATATTCAATAGATAATTTGACTTGTAAATTCAGTTCGGAACTAGTAGTTTATAATATTCAAAATAGAAGAGATTGATCTTTGAAAATATAGCTTTTTCTCAATTTATTATCCGTAAAAGTAAGTAGAGGAAAAGCTTAACCACAATTACAATCACGCATGGAAACAAAAAACAGATAAGACAAGCCACAGTTCCAGTATTTGTTTGACGTTTTCTTCGCTGTGAAAAGTAAAAGAATGTCGACCAAATCTACAAAGTTTTCCGAAGCTAAAATCAATGACAACAAATTTGGGCTGACGAGGGGTAGGAAGCTTGTCTATATAACTCACATGTACATCGACTAGGTACTTCAATTTGGGACGTCTCAAATTTGGCAGCCAACTTTGGAGGTCATACGGATCGCAAAGATCCACGTGGCATAAAGATCTGTAGTACTTTTTAAACTACTTGTTACAGCTCTAAATTTTCACTTGTCCCTTCTAAAGAGGTTTGTGGTTATGTTAAGTTAATATTTGTCTTAAGTTTCCGCTTCACATTATCAGCTCCCAAAAGTGTGATACATTGGTGCTAGGGTTGGATTTCACTATTGGGAAGCACTCACAAAAGTAAAGTGTTCAGAGTTCTTATCGGACGTTTCACCCGTCCTACAACATTCTCTAAGTTCGTTGCTTGGTCATTCATTCGCTATTCTGTATTGTTCACGACAATTGACATTGACGTTATTATCGTATTTGAATATAGATATATATTCAAATATTCATTTAAAATTACAAAAATTTAAATTAAATAACCGATAACACCATCTGTAGTGAAGTATTTTACTGAAGCGTATAAAGAGTCAATTGTTGAAATAGACGTTTATTTGAACATCTATTAAATGTGGCATACGTTAAAATAAAAATTTGCCACACTAAATTCTTTCACGCCTTTGTATTGTGATATGATAGTAATTTTAACGCCAAAATTACACTTGGAACTGTTATTATTGGATAGTATAATGTCACTATAAACAATTAATGACGTATTGTTATTATGAGATAAATTTACTAGTTATCCGATGTCACTCATACGAGATAACACTCTTGGAATATTAAACTATATACATTTGTTCATCTCACAAGTACAGAAAATTACCATCCTCCTGTTCAATAATGTGCTTCTGAATTTACATTTGTAGTTTCTTGGTCGTGATGATTATTCGACATTTTCTATGGTTGTTCATGGAGGTATTTGGCTTCATTTTCTCATTTCAGTTGTAATCATTGTAATGCTGTAGTCTTATCGTGTAGTTTTTTTGTTCGGCTTCCCATCGCCGTTATTAATTTCTCTAGTCTTACTTTTGCTTTGCATTCCGATTTTCATTACTACTTTCCGGACTCAGCGAATGAAACCAAACTATTCATCTTAGGAAAAACTCAAATGCGTAACAGCTTGCTCCACCACGTTCACAAAAGCTTAACCACCAGAAGTAAACCATAAACTTGTACCCTCATGGTTGCAACAAAGTAGTAACCTTCGTAAGGTGACTTCTTTTGCAAGAAAATACGTACCTACCAAGAGCGTCGATTCGAAGCATAGATGCTCAAATGAGCAAGTTTTCATTGAGGATATGAAAGTACATCCAACCTCCTGAAGTGGTAGTTCTTTCCACGTTTATCCGTAACCAGAAATTTAGTATGCACTACAAGTCTCCCGCATCATGGCTACACACCCATATTAGGAAATAATTAAAAGTCTCCACAACTACTGGAAGCACGAGGCGAGTGTGCGACAAACGCAACCGCGATGAGATCGCGATTATGAGATAAAGCTTGGAGTGTTCACCTTTGATATCAATAACAACGCAGTAACTTCCTTCTTGACGAGCGTGTATCTACTAACGACGGGCATTCGAACCACTTCTCGTTTCAAGATCAAAGTTGAGCCATTATTTATCGAAGGTTTTGAACCTGAATCCTATCTCTTGAGGTAACAAGACCCGCTAATCTTACACTTTCACCTCATAAACTTAAGCCCCATTAGCATCATAATATATATTTATTTTACTGCAGCTAGGATATCTTCAGTATTTAAGTTGAAACGGTCAACAACATTCAACTAGGTAGCAACTCAAAAAACTCACCTAATATGGTGTTTTCTTATGAATCACACTACGAAGTAATTAATGAAGAACAGTAGAGATTATTGCCAAAAAATCCTACAAAATAACCAAAGAAAATTGATACCTTTTCACTTAAGATGTTGAAGTCTTATGCACTTTTCATTTGCACTTTAGAGTCATCCTCCATAGCTCAAAAGAAATATAAAGTATGAGAAAAAAAATGAGCACTCTACATCATTTTATACCTGTTGACTTTGGTCATTGCCACTTCATCTACAGCTGATACATACCCACAGTTACATCTATATCAATAATTAGTTCCTCCGTATGTATTATTACGATATGTATATTTCCATACCAAAGTTAATCATAAGACATATTAGTATTCACTTTATGTGAGGTTTCTAACATCATCCCTCATTACAAATTTCATATTCACAATAAAATTATGAACAACTATTATTGGAGTTGAAAAAAGAACAACACATCAAATTGACACATGCTTTTCTTAGAGATAATACTCTCATAAGTGAATTATACAAATTGTCTTGATAATTTATCAATAAAATGAAAAATATCAATAACATAAGTTAAATAACTGATGTGAAGTATATGTAGAAGAATTAAGGCTTCCTTTTTGCATTGAATGAAGAACATTTTTAAAAAAATTTGGAACAATTGAATATTCTCATTGATATATATTACCGAACTACTATGGATATGTTTTAACTAGAGTAGTGGTCTAAAAGCTTAGTGACTTGCGTTGTTCAACTTGAAGTTCATGTTTTTAGATGACAAATTAGTATCCGAGTTTCACCGAGAGAAGTGACAGACAGTAGAAAAGTACTAACAGATAAACACATGAGACACACATTATTAACGTGGTTCACCATTCATATGTTGGCATGTGATTTCACATATGACTTATATGGATCATTTTTTCTTATATATTTATGATATATTTATATTACAATGAAACTTGCAACAGAGAAAGGCAAAGCCAAAAATTCAGAATGGATGACGAGCAAATTGAACTAATTGCTAATTGCTAATTTTTTAGTTGATACGCCACACATGTTAGTTTTTAGGTTCATTCACATTCTGGATATATTTATTGATTGGGTTATATTTATTCTTGAATATGTAAGTCAGTATAAATGATAGCATGAAGCTTATTCACTAGCTAAATTTATTGTTGGAATTTTTTTTTTCCATTCTTTATATGATTGGTTATTGAAAAGATAAGTTGTAGAGATTCTTAGCTAGTTTTCCAAAGTATTCATAATTATTGATAATAATGAAATTTTTCCACATTTCTACACATAATCTAAAAGGCTTTAGTGAAGTAGTTTTCAAACATCTTAGATCATCATCCTATTGAAAGTTGATGATAATTATGTTGACATCATAAGTTTCTTTAAGATATTTGCACAAATACAAAAAAAAATCAATGTTGGACTTTTTGTACTGTTAGGTTTTTTTGCTGATTTAAAAAAATTTTAAAAGAAGAAATTTGAGATTTTTTGTTACTTGTGTATTGGTTGAACAACATGATTCAAATTCGTAATAGCACTTTTATATACATCACAAGGCTTTCAGACAATTGTTTAGGTGATATTTGAGTAGTAGAGTTTTATTTGAATATGGATTTATTTAACTGTATGATTGAAAATTATATATTGTACGATATGTATCTTATGGATTCAATTTTAAACTTTAAACCAACATTGTTCTCTATTTGAGTACAAATTTTTTTTAAAATTTGTCATGAGTCAAAGTTTTTCCCAATTTATGAACATGATTGCTGCTTGAAGGTATTCATCAGTCTATATTTGGTTAATAATAATACAGTGAATATGTAAGATATTTCTCCTTGTTAGCTTTGTTTGGAAATGCATATTTGGTATCATATGACTAATAATGTTTGCGTTGGATATAAATTAGGGAAATTTACTTACATTTTTGACATTTCCGAGTGAAAACATCTAGATCTATAATTGATGAATTTTTTTACCGGAAGATTTTTTTTTTTACTTAAATGATGATTGAACAAAAGTTTATCATGATTTTGAGTGTAAGGATATAGATGATCGATTTTTACTTAAAATCATTTTGGAGCAAAAGAGAGGTGTATTTTTCTCTAGTAATACAAGATAAACTCTCATACTTGTTCACTTTGCCCAACTCTTGGATGATTGAGTCTACGGTTTACCTTGATGGAGATCTATAAGTATTTCATTTACTAGTTTACTCTCTTAAAACAACAATTATGTGTGCTTTTGAATCTTCATTCCACCATGCATCAAGGGTATATGTGGTGCAAGAGCCACCTTTTCTTCAGCTATGGTGATCTGTTTTAGCTTGATCTATGTATGTGGAAAAAGTGGACTAAAAAAAAGAAGTTATGAGTCCCACATGTGGACAATCTTGAAGGATTGATAGTCCACTTAAATGTATGTAAGAGGATTAGAACGGCAACAACTGAAGCTTCCAAGTATTACTTATGCAAAGACTTCAGCTCTTGTTACCCTATCTTTTGATTTATATAAAATTTCGAACATCTCTTTTATTTTTTTGGAGAGAATGATCCAGGGCAAATGATTCTAGTAGACATGAAGTAAAACTGTCTTTTTTGCGCTGGGCAGAGAATACACCCATAATAAAGATGCAAAGTGTGTGAAATCTACATGTGAATTGGAGCTTTTTGAAAGTCGTGACCAACAGTGATCAATCTGTTCACTTAGTAAGGCGCAAACAAGAAATAAACAGAAGCAGAAAGGCTGCTGCAATCGGTTGTCATATAGACTCTCTAAAAAATTCAGAATCTCCTAAATAAGTTATTTTTGAAAGCGTGCTACATTCCATGTTTGTTATTATAGGTGTTTGGGTTCCAGACAAAGGAAAATCAAACCAGCATATCAGTTCTTCTTGTACGCCTTGATGGAATCCTTGTTGTGAGCCACGTTGGTACTAGTATGGCCTAGACTATTTTGAGAAAACGTGTAGCATAACTTTACATGAATCAGTTTATTATCTAGCTGACTTGGCAATCCCATTTTTTTGGTATATCATATGGTCGCTATCCACTCCAGTATACAAAAGTCAGCGATACACCACACAGAACGAAAATGATGTATGTATTGTTTTTTCCAAGTGGGTCAGGCTCGTTAGTTAGAAATCAATACTTCGGAGATATGAGAACGATGATGGTGAAAGAAATAAAAACTACTGTGCTGTTCCACCTATATGGGCATGATCTGCACCTGAAGGTACGAATGACTGACTCGATGGCTCCGAACTGGCATTCTTCAAACATGTCCCAAACATCTACCATACGTACGTTATCTACCTTCGCCTGAATGGACTTGTTGAGTGTTAGGTGAGATGGCTGTAACAATTGTTTTTAAGACCGGAATTTCATCTGTCAAGAGTAATGGTCTGGAGTCCACTTTACTAGATGTCAAGCTACCTGGACCAGCACTCTTATGGCGCAGGTTAAGCATTTGCGGATGCCTCAGATGAAAAACTACGAGCGGCGTCGCCATGGACGTCTTGCAGAAACCCAGGATTACATGTCGTCCATCCACTCTTCCGCGTCATACTCTACTATCCTGTCCAAACGGACGTGTAAGCATGACTTTCAGAGAGCTGCTTTCGGATACGTGCCGGCACTGGGAAATATTAATTGCGTTTTTCTTGATTCCTGATTTCTGACCTGATTCAAGTAGATTGTACGTTGTCATTGTTGTTGTTCGTGTTGGTTTTCAATGCAACTTTCTCGCCTTGCACTGATCTGCATACCTAGCTCTTCCCTCGTTCAAAGTTGTTCCAGAATTGAGTTCGTACGAATCACTATCAGAATATCTTGACGTGAAATTTGTGAGCGATGAGTAGAACAGTCCCGGACCTTCACCTCCTGAAACCAGCGGACCTCGAGCGTCTCATCAGGGGCATGAACCCTCGACCCAAAGATCTCAGATTTTCTGGAAGAGGATTTCAGGATGCTGCAACGGACACGGTTCATATTATGCCGTCTGAGATGGATCAGAACTCAAGAAATCAGAGATCTGGAGAGGTTTTCGTGACGGCGGGTGAGAATAATCGTCTAATTTTCAAGACATCACCGTCCCATGTCAGTCAGGGATGCCGGTACAGGCGATTGAAAGATGGGACAAAAGTCCACCTGCATCTGTGCTGGCACTTCTGGAACTCTGAGGGTGTTTCAAAGGAAAAAGACTTGATGAAGGCCCTTGATAAGGTTGTCGAGATTTTGAAAGACCTGGACGCTCAACATGGTCATAAACCATCCGAGGAAAACTTCGAATTGAGAAGAGGTGGACGTGAACCTGGACCTGAAGCAGATGGGCATGACAGAGAACACGGGTCTGGTCTACGTTCCGAAAGAACGAAGAACTTCGGTAGAGAAATCTCAAAGACGAAGCATTCCTCGCATGACGTGAATATCAAGCCCACCAGGCTCCTGGATGCACTATTCGAAAATGGAGATATGGAGGCAGATGCTGATGAGGAGGCCCATGCATCCAAGCAGGAGCATGTGGGCACCACGCCTATTCCCCCAAAAAGGAAAAACCTCTTCCAAGATATGCACAGTTCGAATTTGCCAGTTACTGAGAAAAAGTCTGGTCAAAGAGTTCGTAATTTTGAGCGAAGAAAGAGTTCCAAACCCAGACTTGAAGAATGCGGAGATGTGGAGAATGGACCGAACATCAGAGATACTCAGTGCGAACGTCACCGACAAAAGAAACTTGTTCGAGAGCGTGAGGTGAAGAAAGAGTATTCTAAGCATATTCGAGGCCCTTCAAGAAAGATTGCAAGTGAATCTGCAATGACGGATGGGAAGGAGAAAACTCATGAGACTCCGAAAAGAAATGCACCTTCAGCTGATAAGATGAAAAAGCCTTTGCATGAAGCTGACGTGGACAAACACAAAGAACATATTGGTAGGACCGATTTTGACTCGCCCAGAGAAAGGGAAAGACTTCAGAGTTGTCAAAATCTGCAAACACAACAACACTGTTCTGTGAATCATGATGACGACATGGATGAAGGCAACGACAGCGAGATTGATACAGATTCGCCGGTACACGACCTTATGGGACGCATTTCTGGACGTCGGGAGACGAGAAAAAACTCAAAGCGTCATCAGTCTGCATACGAGAACTGTACTCCTGCTTCAGACACCAAAAGATCGAGGACCAATACTCCACATAGCAAAAATGCTGAACGTGGAGGATCTTCGAGAGAAGGGATGAGTGTTAATTCATTTGAGACGAATAAATTCATCTCGCCAACCTTTGATGAAACGCCAAGCATTAAGCCGCAGGTGGGTCTTGTAGGCAAGGGCAAGAAAAAAGTCACCTTTCAATGTGATACGCCTCCTGCAATGAATCAAGTGAAGAAAGGCGATTTATCTTTTCCTGAGGTTGATAAGGTATTCAAGAGTCCCGGTTATACGTCTATGGACGACCGAGGCAAAGTGATGACCATTCTCGAACAATTTGGTTACTTAGAAAATTGCTTCAGATCTGCTAAGGAAATCGGCGATGTGAGGCTTTCAGAACTGACATGCGCAAGGCGTCTGAGGGCTGACTTGAAGGCAGGAGAATACCTCAAGAGAAGAGGCTTTTGTTTTTACGACGGCTCCAGTGTCGTAGGTACGATTCCAGGTGTGTGTGTAGGACAGACCTTCAGTTGTAGGGAGGAGCTTGTTATCTTGTCCATTCATCGAGTGCAACAAGCAGGAATTGATTACATCCCAGCCAGCAAGAGCCACTTCAGGGATGCGGCAGGGAATCAATTGGCAGTAGCAGTCAGCGTTGTATCTTCGGGAGGTTACAAAGACGATGAAGATAATGATGCGGCCACTTTGACATATTCTGGCCAAGGCGGATGCTCCAATAGGACACACAACTCCAGACCTTCAAAGGTTCAGGATCAGAATCAAGAGCTCGTTCGCGGTAATCTGGCGATGGTAAACTCCTATGAGCTTCACATCCCAATTCGAGTTGTCCGATCCTTCGTGCGTGACAAGACGCAGAAGAAAATTTACTACTACGATGGCCTCTATGATGTGACAAAATATTACGAAGAGACGGGTTCTTCGGGTTTCAAAGTGTGGAAGTTTCAGATGGTCAAACAACTTGGACAACCTGAGGTGCCTCATGCCTTCTCCTCAGATCAGGTAATCCATTACTTCTTGTCGAAGTTTTTCAGTCTATTCTACACCTGAGTCTGATGCATAGATCATGTAGAAGGTCATAAAGTTATGCTGCACGACACAGACGTCAGGAACTGTCGGATGACTTGCAAATACTTCTGAGCCAGATTCTGAGAGGAAATAATTTTATATGTTTTTATTGGGGGCACAAGGGTACCTCAAGAGTAAATTAATATGAAGTGGTAAACTTGCGTGGAGTGGACAAGGTAATGATGAACTCACAAAAGTTAAAATTCTCTTATGAAGAAAGCATATTCTTCTGTTCATATAAGCATATAAATATGACTTCAGGACTGTAAAAGTGTACAACTAAGTTAAATCACTGCGTTCTATTCACATAGACACCTGATGCTGTGAAGCCTGTGCATTCCCTCTGGTTTGGAGTTTACGAAGACAATGGTTAGAATCAGGAGTAGGATCTCATAGCCCTCCAAATTTAACGTCCCATATTCGTGTTTTTTGCAGGTGAAAGTCGATGAATGAAGTTTTATTATCGGTGACCTTTAATCGACATGCGAATTATTGTCATTTATTTTGTTCAGCTCAGAGTTTGTAGAATGTGTGCTGACCTTGAATGCATGTGGTAACGTTAGGACCACTGTGAAATGCTGTATTAGATTTCATCCGTGTTATTCTGTAGCTGATGAAGAAATCCTTGGCTTTAGAAAGTGAAGGGTTTCGTTGCACGTAGTGACAAAACGATGCTCTGTGTACATAAATAATAATTGTACACACCAGGCTAATAGCGCGGCACCTGATTCGCAACATATATAAATATAACATATGTTTGGAAGTACCAATTAAAGAGGTATAAACTGAATAAGTAAAATCTGTAATTATTCTTTTTCTAGGCCAAAGTTTGAAGGCAATTACATCGAAGATAGAGACATGTTCGTATGTACATCTTCTCTCGGTACAAATTTTTTCCAGTACCAGTGCCGGCTCCATATGTGTTTCATGTCCTCAAGAGGAACCCCCTTGTCTCAGGCAGGAGAAATATCGTAAAGGATAGCATGATTAACAAAGTACCGGCGAAAAAAAAGAATGTTCCCCACCTCAAGTGACAGAACATGGTCAGAAACACTTGAGTCAGCAATAAAGTTACGAGGTAGTTAAATGACATTGCCAGTCCCATGCCAGCAGAGCGACATTCAAGGCTGAAAATCTCAGATGGCACGACCCAGATCAAAGGACCCCATGACCAGCCGAATCCAGCAGTCCAAAGGTTCACCAACACCACTACTCCGATTGCTAATGACTTGTCTAGAGTGTTGTGCAGTCCTAGCTCCAAATAAAATATCGTACCTAGAGCAAGCTGCACTCAAAAAGCAAACAAAAAGCAAACAAAAAGGTCAACGCAAGCATTACCCTTTTTACAAGAAGGACAAAAATTACCTGCTGCCGCTGAGACATATGCTCCATGACAATGCTACTCAATTTATTGCGCATTTTACTTTGACTACTCTCAGACAGTAAAAATTGATGGCCTAACATGAGACAAGACGACAATTTGGAGGTTTACGGGTCAGAAAGTTACTTCCTGACACCCATGTGGCACTGAACTTACTCCCTCATGCCCTGAGCCTAAGGAAAAATCTTCTCATACCACAAGACATGGTACTGGACTAAGGCGTAGGTTACTGGAGAAGGCGAGTACCTGGTTTTATTCCACATATCCGGAGTGTGATGCATCAACCTGTTGAAACTATAGGATTTTCATCCCATTTCCAAGCTCGGTGGTTGACGAGTGTTGGCGGGAGAGGAGAATATAGACTCTCCTATTATCGTAAACTGTATCGTAGAGTCTTATCGTCTCAGCTTCCTATTCAATTCCTCAAATGTCCTCCCGTACAAGAAAAACTTCGTGTTTCCCAACTGAGAACAGTATGCGAGTTGGAGATGGTGTATGACTTTGTGACCACGAGTTCAATTTTCACCATGTTCAGTCTTATTATTGCTTTCTGATTTTAGAGTTCGGTCATCTGTCAAATTCTACATGGATCTCGAATTTGAACTATCTTTGACTCTGCTCACTGTACAATTACCTCCCCTGCAGCAGGGTGGTGGAATGTAGAAGAAGGTGAAGTCGTGAAACTCGCCTCAAATCTCGTCCCTGGACTGCTTGCCAGGATGTTCTACTGCAGACCGAACGCTTCATCCGTCATTGCACGAGCCCTATCTGGCATGAGGATGTATGTTATGTTTGCCGCGGGTGGGAGGACATAAATCCCCTGTGGACGAGACAAGTGAAATAATAGTAGGTACGAGAAGACATATCTGGCAAAGTGACATCTGGATCCTTCCTTCAAAGAAGAGCGCCTTTCTTCCCAACCTGTCAACGAGAAGTAAAGAGATCGCACTGCCGACCATTCGCACTGACCCCACGATTGTAGCGGAGTACAAAGCGGCAGAACTTCCATACCCCATGATCCTGAAGAGAACCGGAACGTAAAATGCAATGGCAGCATTACCTGAAAAAGGCTGAGCTCCGGGAAGAAAGCACGCAATTAAAAGCTGCGCCCTATTTTCTCTTCGCAGCAGACATTTGAAAGAATTATTGACTGTTGCAGCCACTCGAGAGGCTTCCAAAATATTCTGAAACTCCGCGTCGACATTCTTCAATCCCCTGACTTTCTCAAGAATCTCTCGCCCTTTCTCCAGTTGCCCCCGTTCGACGTAACTGACCGGTGTGTCAGGAAGAAAGAATGCGCTGAGTGACAACATCACAGCTGGGAGAGATTGCACTCCTAAAGCGATGCGCCATCCATAAGGATGAATCTTATTTGCAAAATAGTTGAGTAAGCTAGACGCGAAAAAACCGACCGTGAGTGAAAATTGGAAAGAGTTAACGAGCGCCACTCGAATTTTGGCAGGTGCCATTTCCGCAATATAAACTGGCGCAGCCTACAAACACCAACCTGTGGAGTAAGTAGCTACTGGAAGGTCGAAGGCTTTGGCCAACCCACCAAGTTTCTAAGTAGTCCATGCCCATAGTAATGCTCAACGAAATCCAGATTCCATCGCTAATTTCCATTCAGTCGATTGGCGCCTGTTCCTGAAGATGCTCCAATCACGATTGATAAACTTGAGCTAAAATTGGAATAATTATTGGAGCATAAAAATTGGAGCTTATTCCAGATACTAGACGTACATGGGGAATTCTGAATTCAGTTATGGTCGGCACTCTGCAGCATAGCTGGGATCTGAAACTATTGCAAGACATCTGCAACAGAACAGAATACGACCTGTCCATGACAGTAGAGTATACGGTGCACATCATAGACAAGTCGATCGAAATTGGACGACTCTATTGTTTCCAAGCCTCAAGGGAACCACTGGATGTCCTCGGGTAGGCCATAGAAGGGAAAACCATAAAGGGCAATTCTACAATCGAAGATACATTCAGCCGTGAATCACCAATGCAGTAGTAGATTTTGGCAACAGAGCTGACCTGAGCGGATAACCCAACTCCCATACCCAGAAACAGACGGCCGATGACGAGCATCGCCAGGTTGGTTGCAGCTCCATTCAGAACAGCACCGATGGAAAAGTTTAAGCCACCGGCAATGAGCGTCAGCCGCCTTCCATACTTGCGAGTGACATAGCCAGCGAAAATTGAAGTGACAAAGCCAGCCAACTAGAGAGACGACGTGAAGAGCTGGATGCCTTGATTATCATAGCGGCAGTAATTATTTACCCTCGCTTCCTTCTGCTTCCGGTACACGGAAGGAAAGAACTTCTTCTGAAAATCGTCCATGGCAGTCACGCCACCTGCGACAATGAATTACGTTGACAATTGATATAAACTCCATGCTGATTGTAAACAAAGGTTGCGAGACAATACATTCCCATTGAGCTTCTCTGGAAACAAGTGGACACTGAGAAAATCCGGATCGCCATAAATTCGAATCCCCACTCAAACTTAGACGTATGCATGGAAATACATAAATCACCGAATTATTTAAAGAGATGAATGTTATCAAGCAAAAATGAGTACCTGTGACTGCGAGGTCGTAACCGAAAAGAAACCCAGCGATGGCCGCCATGAAGCATGATGATATCAGATAAACTGTGACTCGATGTTCAAAACGCTTGTCCACTTCCGTCTTTGGAAACATTCCTCCTGCCATTTGCGAACAGCAGCTGACTCGTGTATCTCCAACTCCGCAACAAGTTCTGAAAACAGCTTGTGGTCGACAAATGAGCTCTACAATACCCCCATCAGCCTACATCCTGCCCACACTTGCACAAATACTTGTACTTGTAGAAATACTTGCGAAAGGATGAATTACAATTCGCAGTTGCTCACTCATTCTGGAGATTCCAATTCCTGTCCGAGGTTCTTTCTAACTTGGAGGTAAGAGCTGCAGTCATGACAGACTGCGCCCGCTTATGAGAATTCCTTCACCGCTTTCAAATGTTGGTGTACACTGTGCTTGCACAGTGTACACCAACATGAGATCAACAGATGAAGCCCGTGGGACCCAAAGGGCCAAAAGGATTAATATTACTTTACAAGGAACATGGAACATGTGACTCACTCAATCATGTATGGGAGCTTTCTGTCCGTCGAACGGAAACAAACCAGCAGAAAGTTAAAGTGGGCAATCAGATCCTCGCACAGCACTCTAAGTGGTCAATGCTACAACTGCAATAGACGGAAGGGCGTAATAGCTTGACACGCAACACATTGGCCACAATGCCAGACAGGCTCAGCGTTCCAAAGTTTGCACAGTGCGCGACGATGGAACAGCGAGACGAGCTGAAATAACTTTCAGCGAGAAAACTCCAGTGAGAATACACGAGCAAATCGCAGTTGCACATCATCCATGCACGACGAACGATAACGAGCGATATATTAAGGTGCACAAGGATCAGTCGGCTGAGTCAGAACTAACTTCCAGGTAACATTTCACTAACCTCTTGCAATCTTTGAAGTTACTCTGTAACAGTCAACGGATAATATTAACAATCTGAATAATCTTGCTGTGATATCATGGGGGCTGCTGAGC